GAACTCTGCGAACACCACTTAAAGCACATTGTGCAAAACCGTGATGTGGTGAAAAAAAAATTCCTTTACAAGTCAGATCACATTCTCTGAATAGCCGTATTTTTAGCATAATGTTGGAATAAGGGTATAGATTTATCAAGCAGTGTTAAGTAAACACATTAACAGAAAAAGCTTAAGGGAATAGTGGTGGCCTTATATTTGTAATAGTGATTTTCTTCTGTGACAAGTTCTAATGTGGTTTTTCATCTTATTTTTTCAAAACCTCCTGTATTAGTCATTCCAGTATTAAAGCAGAAATGACCACTTCGTTACATAATCTTAACCATATTTCCCTTTTGCCGATAATATCTAAAGTTCAACACACTACAAATATTTGAAAGGCATCAATCATATTTGCAAAAACAATTTATTTCATCAAGCCCAAATATCTAAGTGTTAGTCACTTTTTCTATCAAATTTCATGTGCTGCAAGAAACAGATGGTACTAATCACCTTATCAAAAATTTACTGTCAGTTTATAAATATATCAATCAGGAATATTTCTCATGTAAGGAAACATTCTGGGTTCAAAACCCAAGAAAATTAAAAGGGAACTCTAATAAAATTACAGCACAGCAGTCTCCCCTTTCAGAAGTCTAAAGACCATATACCAGCTATTGTCCAAGATCTTCCTTCCTACATATCTTAAATACTCAGCGTTCCTACCACCTTTTACACATACAGACTTATGTCACAGCACACATACAATAAGACAATTTATTAAAAAATTTATTAGTCGTTATGATAAAATTTTATCTCCTAACTCAACAACAAAATCTCAAAGTATAGCTAACCATTAACAATTAGGTAACTGCAGAAGAAACTTGTATGAGAAGTGCCTCACCCTGAGATCTTAGTGGAATAAGCTAAAATATGGCATGTGAAAGGATCCTCCAACTGCCTTCCTCCTGTGAAGCCTCTTACTGCTCTTTCTTCCATAACTTTTCAGATATTTAAGCTCGTTTAGCCTTCTAAGCCACCTGAATCTTAGTAAGGCTCTCACCACTGCAACCCAACACTTGTTCTCTCTTTCCTTGCACAGCTACCAAACACTACATCTCCCTTATGTTACTTCAAAGCACTGCTACCAGAATCTTCTAATTCATTGTCAAGTTCTTCACACCCCTTCACTAGCCTCCTTATTCTCCTCCAAGTTCTCAAATGTAATCTGTTAGTCCTCCAATATTTAGTCATATTTTATCCATCCGATCTAGTTTTTAACCATACGTTCATCATCAATGAAAGCAGCCTCAGCTTATTCCTCAAAACTAACCTTCTACAGTAGTATGGATAGTAAAACCCTGAAAAGCAAGTACACAACCAACTATGATGACTGTTCCTGACTGACCAGGAACCAGCTTGTCACTCTCTTCCTCACTCACCAGCTGTCACCCTCCAGCTGTACCTTGGTTTTCAGATGGTAAAAACTTCCATTAGGCCGTAGAGCACTTTGCATAACAAGGCCTCAGTTTCATTGTCCTCGCACTGCTACTACTGCTGTGTAAATCTTAAGTAATGACAGGGCATGTGAGGTAGTTTCTGGAATATACCTCCCGGTGCTGCTGAAGTAGTCTCTATAACAGAAGATGAAGATGTGAAAAGTTAACATTTGAGATCAGGTTTATCATCCCCCGTCATGACTATGCAACAGAAGCACATATAGATGTGACCCCAGTTTATAAAATATCTGATGCTACCATCTTTCAGACTGTGTAAACCAAATGCATGGTAGGTAATGGAAAAAACCTGTTTATACACATGTGCATATATATATGTATATATGCATTCCTATTTAGTTAATATTTCATGCACGGTTATGGCTGACTCCACACTTTTCTTCATACTGTTTGTATCTTCATATGCACCGGAATCAATCAGCTTCAGTCCCAGCAGTTCTATTAGTGTTTACCTCCTAGCATTTTCTAAAAGTGGCTCCCAGTGGCTTGTATAAATAAAAGCAGCATTTTACAGGAACAACAGATTTATAACTTTAATAAGACTACCCTCCTTCCTGCATTAAAGTCTACAGTACATGACAAATCAGGTTAAGCAAGCTGGTATCAAATCTGAAGCCAAACACATTTTTGAGCCAAACTTTAATTCTCTGAAGAGCTCCGAGCTTATTTTCAAGATGTTAAATTATTGAGGAAAATCAATTCTTTTCCCAGCTCAGGCAATGTCATACAGTCACAGCATATACAACAATAGCTAAGGTAGCTTTTCTGGTTTATTAACTTCACAAGCCTTTAGAATTAAATTACCTACCTTTTCCTCTTTAGAATCCAGATAAACAGTCACTACGGACAGTTTCACAACTTCTATTAACTTCAGATGACAATAAAAGATTTGTCTGAAAACAGACTGTCAGAAACAGACAAAAAACATTTGAGAGACCTGCAAACTCCTACGTTTATTTATTAAACCAGTATTATTTAAACAGTATCACTAGACACTTCAGCAAATAAACTGCAATGCATTCTGTTCTGACAATAAACAGTTTCCTCAAAGGATCTGAAATAATAAAATATATTCCATCCAAAGAAGCAACAGAAGAATCGCAAGCAATCCTGGGAGAAAGTAGGCAGATGGCAAGAACAGTTCTTTGTGAGCAATAACCTTCCTGAAACAAAATATTTAGGAGTATCTACATGCAAACTTTCGCTTAGACTTGTAGTTCCACGGAATATCAAGTGATTTCAGTCCCAGTCATTTTATTAAGTTTCTATCTCCTAGCATTTCCAGAGGATATCTTGGGCACAACAAAGGATAAGGTGATGTAACCTTCTGTAAAAGCATCCCAACCATTAGAGCACAAGAGATATAAAAGAAGGAAGGAGATAAAGTGATGTTACCAATCTTTCCTGTTCTAAAGTAGAACAGCAGTAGTGAGTAAGCAGTAATTTACGAAGGAGCAACAACCACCCTCATGCCCTATCCCAAAAATACCCTAACCATCAGTTTTAGGACTTAATAATGTCATATGGTGAGTTAATGGAGAAGACTCTTGAGCTTTCCTGTTGAGGACATCCAGTTTAGTATATAATATGTAAATATCTGGTGACCTATAGAGACAGAGGAAAAACTGATTCTCCAGGTTAGTTAGTTACTATGCTTCTCCCATTGGACACGTCAGCCTATACGCCATTGTATTATTATGCAAAGTAAAACAGTCTTAACAGATAAAAATGAATAGTTGTGTACACACCAACAGAAATATCCTTTGTCCCCTGAATAGCCTACCAGTTAGGACACCCTCCAAGACTTCTGTGCCAAATGCAAAAAATCTGCTCCCAGTTCTCTGGTAAGTGTCCCCAGCACAGAGAAAAAAAAGATTCTTTTCTGTGAGCGATGTGAGCCAGCAACGCTGCAGCTCCCAAGATGTTCCCAAATGAAACCATTCAGCAAAAAGAATGCAGTTGCAATTAACTACTAAACAAGCAAATGCACTTTTTTTGATGAATAAAGTGTCTCTAAAAAAAAATCTACTCAGTTCTAATATGAAAGCCGTAATACTGGTAAGTAATAAATACCTGTTTTTCAGTCAGCCACAATTCAAACATGAGATGCAATCTATAGCAAATATCCAGACAGGAAAACTATTTGAAAAACATACAAAAAACCTCAAAATACAATGGAATTCATTTCTTTGTTGTAAATAACTCTTTCCGAGCTCTGATTTTCATGGTACCGTTTCTGACCTAAGTAAATGAGAAATTTACTGTGGAAGGAAGCTTACCTAAGCGATTTAGAAAGAGCTCATACGTCTAGGCAAAACACAGCCATTTGCAGAAGGTAAATAACAGATGTTATTTTTCCTTCTTCATCTTACTTAACTACTATTGCATATGTTGCCTCTCTGCCCATAGAGCCTTACAGATTTGCGCTGCACGCTGCTCCCTGCCCTTGGAAGGGTGCAGCAGCAGCAGCAGCAGTGTGGGCGGGGAGGCCCGGCAGCCCTTCCTACATCTCTTGACAAAGGTGCCCGTCCCCTAGCAAGACTCTCAGCCAGCGCTGCGGGACCGCGCTTACTGCAGCAGGCCACGGCAGTCCATCGGAATAAGTATAAACCACCACAAAAACGCCCCAACTCAAACGCGGGAAGGCCACACAGCTCCACACACGGCTCCTTTCCGCTGCTGCGTTACGCGAGCAGAGCCCGGGCGCGCGGGGACAGCGAGGGACAGCGGGGGACA